GGGGCTTTTACTCACTGCATGTGTGCTCAACCACATGGTGGTCACTCTTTGGTCAGCTATTTCATCAGGGTGTCCTGGAGTGAGATGCAGGCCAATTATGATAATTTCACTTTTTTTGTCTGTGGGAAAGTGTATTATTAGATCCATACTGTAACTCTAAATGCAGGCCACCGCTCTGGTAGAAACTGAGCCCCCTGTGCCTTTTAACCAGGACCAGCTTCTCCAGCACTAGAAGAGCGCTTGATGACATTTCCATTTGGCATGAAAAACAGGAGAAAAACATCTGGCTCCTTTGAGGTTGTGGCTTTGGCAACATGGCTTTGACATCGCTTAAACAGCAAGGACTATCTCAAGGTCCACAAACTTCAAAGAAACTGCATGAAAGTGCCCAGAAAACATCTATCTCATCATCATGTTAGGATGGACTTCAGTCATGTAATAAGTTTGCTTCTCCTTCTTTTTTAATACCTCTAATTACTTTAAATATAAACTTTTACCAAATAAAAAAGTAAAGTTTGAAAAAGGAGCAAGACATTTCAACAATTGATAAAACTTCTATTAAAAATACATGACAGTCTTTCACTGCTGCAAACAATTAAATCAAAAACAACATCATTTTAATGTGTTTAAGTGCACATCTGATCCAAATCTAAAACGAGAAAATTTTCATTTCCCAACTCTCTACTTTGTAAGGGTCACAAAATAAAAACATTGCCTTATTTGGCTTGAAGTTTAACCTCAACCCTGGTCTGTAGTTCATACCATTGTGCTGTGATGTGATGTGCTTGCATTTACTGTGATACAGTACTGCAGTACAGCAATACCAAACAAGATGGCGATGGACTTGTTTCCAGACTAAATGAGGCTTAAACACTACCCAGACTACACTGCTAACATCTGACATCCACCTCCAGCACCAACAATTACTCACTCATTAGTAAGCCTTCAAAGGAAAACAACAACAACAACACAATAGAACTAGTCTACAATAAGACTTTTGCAAGTGTAAAATGCACAAAATGCCAGTATTTGTTCACCACCTTTGACCCCAGTGTGGTTCAACATTAGAGACGTCTTTGTTGATAGATGGGAGGACTGTAGGCAAGCTGGGTTTGTGTGGGTCTGAGAGAAAGTACATTCTTGGCATTGAATTTGAAGAGTTTGAATTTAATTATGTCAGAGCAAAGCATGACAACACTGAGTCTAGAAGGAACTTCAGTAATGAGGCCAACCTAACGGTGTATTCTGACAGCAGAAGCTACAGTAACAAGGTCTCTTTTACTCCATTGTAAAGGAGACTGAAATCATTTTTTCTTCCTAAAAGCTCTCGTTGTTGTCCTTAATAGGCCTGATAATTAAAACAACATCATCTGTGCATGCATTGTCTAATTGAAAAACATACATTTCGAATTTCTTTTTTCTTTCTTTATGTTCATGTTCTTATTGTAGTAAATGTAGGAATCAAAAACAGGTGAAAAAATAAAAATTCTGTTTTATGAGTGTGTTTTTTTTTACTGGATTGTTTAAGTCAAATTCCCAGGACCTGTGTTTGAGGCCAACCAATAAGATGCTCACATCTGCAATTGATTACTGTTGAAAAGTAAAACAAATTATATGAGAAACTGTGGACCAAGGCCAGTGAGCTTGATGTATTTCAAAGTAACTCTCGATGAGGTTATGGTTCATAGACAATTATATACTCTGAGCAGTGGCTGTGACACAAAACATGCACACACCTTCCAATAGCTGATATATTACTTCCATATTAAACAGTGCACACACTATACATATATATGTTACAATAACTCTAATAACTAATGGATGATATCCACAAAACAGAACTTAAATGTAATCAGAAAAAACATTAATCTGCAATAATATATGTGGCATTACCACAACACAGATGAACACACAATAATTAAATTTACATAAGGCTAGAGCTAAATGCATTTAGCATTTAGGTCAGAACATGTCTCTTTAGCATAGAGACAAAAACGAATTACAATTTCTAATAGCTCATTGAACATTAAAGAAACAACACTGAGAAGGGGCAGCCAGAGCTAATGAAACGGCATGTGTTTCACTGGATTTAAATGACTTAACATGTATGAGAATCCAAAGGATTATCATGTTTAATGAATGCAGTTGTTTGAGTCAAATCCATCCACAACAGCAGGAAGCATTATGAGTAAGACTTGGGGGGAAAAAGTAATCAAAATGAAGACCAAATATTATCTTAATTAATACCATTTGCATTCATTTCATTTTTTATATGTTGACATGTTTATCTATTATTGTTGCTACTGATCCATAATCCATGTTTTAGCATGGTTTAAGGCTGTGAGCCCATATACAGTCAGTAGCTCACCGTTAGCCAAGCTAAATAATTAAAAACAGAGGTGAAACCTCTTCAAAAGTGTAGCAGCAGGTTTTATTACAGTGTGTTTATAGAAACTCTCAGCTGACTTGGCGTTTATGTTGTTGCTCTGATGGTACGATCAAAAATGAGGTAATGTGTTTTTAAATTGTTCTCTCAAAACTCGCAGAGCAAATCATTTTGCAATGCCATTTCAAGTGGGGTTGTTTTGTAACTTTTTATTCCAAAACAAGTCTTTACTCTGTTTTCTCCATTTGATCTGTGCCAGATGTTGCCCTCATTCACTCCTCCACTGAGGCAGCCAATAAAAAAATTCTGCACACACACCAGAGAAACAGCCTCTGCATTACAAATTTCTCTGTTGGGATTGCAGTTACAGGGTTGGGAAGGTTTGGGGGAAATAATGATGTCAGTCAAAAGTTTGGAAGACTCTCCTTTAGGCCCTTGACCCCTCTCTCAAGACTCTGGAAACATTCTGTCGGTGGAAAGACCACAGCGTGTTTAACCACAACTAAATTTATGCAGTGTCATGCAACGGTTTGCTGGTATCATGCTAACCTTATCAGCATATACACTGCAGGAAGTGTATATACAATTCTGCTTCCAAATATACATCGTCATTTTTGCAATCACACTAAACAGGAAATGAGATTCAGATTATTCAGTTTATTTATGTGTATCGATGAAAATAGCAGGGATTACCGACAAACACCGCACGTCTGCTTTGCTAACTTCCATTTGGCAACACACTGGCAACACTTTCCCTGCTTCAGTGCCCTTAAGTAGTTAGTTGTCTAAAACATTATGGGCGCTAGAGGGCATCACAGTCCACAGATATAAAACCGCGAACACTGGAATGAATAAGCAGTGATTAAATACACCAAGGAAAGCTGTACCTAGTCGTTTTCATTTAAATACTGTCCTTCTACAACCTGGAATCTTGCATAAACCAGAATTAAAAGGACCAAAACTAACTCATATTGATAATATATTGATTTTACCGTTATGCTTATTACAACGGGGATGTAGCTCAGTGGTAGAGCGCATGCTTTGCATGTATGAGGCCCCGGGTTCAATCCCCGGCATCTCCATAGTATTTCATTTTAGGACGTTGCTATGGTCAATGATTTTTTTTCGTTGATTAGAACCGACAAATTCCGAAAATATGCTTTTATGTATTTATCTACAACCCCCCTCTTTACAAAACATGCGTGCAGGAGAAACGGTGAACACCGGAAAGGCTATTCAACCGGAAGTTCATAGTGTGACGGCTCCTGCATTTTTATTCATATTTAGTTTTTATTCCAATGTTCCTAATATTTGCAGTATCATAATGATCACTTAAAAACAGAACGATAGAACTTTGCAATACACAAAAACAGATTCAGTAGTGGCGCGATGTGTATTGTTAACTACACTGTGATCCGCGATGTAAAACGACTGGGGGTATAGCTCAGTGGTAGAGCATTTGACTGCAGATCAAGAGGTCCCCGGTTCAAATCCGGGTGCCCCCTGGGCAAATTCCTTTTCGTTATTCTACACTTTTAAGTATTATAAGGAAACAATACACAAAAGCAAACCAAGTTTATTGAATTATTACCTTTCGTTTTTTAACATATCCTTGTTGCTTACAAAAGATTAAATTACAATGATGTGCTCTTGTAAGCCTCAGATGTGTGACTGCAGGCAGTGTCATGTCACCTGTCCTTCGGACATGACATAAATACATTTGGCGAGCTGATTCTGGCTCTATAGTACCACACGTATGTCATTTCTTATTTGGAATTATTTATTTGCAGGATTATTTTATTTATTGTCAGAGGTCATTATCTAATTTTATCTGAAGCAAATGCAAACATGGGTGTTTCTGCATTTCCATTGATAATAATAAAAAAAGAAGTGAAAATGTACTGAGCTCCAGTGGCCGTAGTAAGAATGTGGGATTGTTTCACTGAATAATGCATGCACAAAAGTGGGGAAATAAAACTTTTGTTTCTTCCTGACAATTAACAGAACTTTAGTGCTATACAACACATATTTACTTTTAGCTGTAGTGGGCTTTTGGTTGAAATTTTATTTGGAGGAGGGTAGTAGAAAATTAGGTATAATTATATATATAATTAGTATATTATATAGAAAATTAATATATCTACCCAGGTTGCTGGAACAGAAAAACACAATATTAGCAGTTAAAAAATATTCAAAAAAATATTTTTGAATGCTTAATATCTATCTAAATTGGAGTTAAGGGCTCATACCACTATAAAAAAAACTTTAAAAACATTTTGACTTGCACTTTAAGTCACTCAACTGTCTAATTTCCACTGCATGTACCAAGCCAGCCAAACCAGTTCAACATTCTACAAGCGCCTCCCAAAATTGAATGCACTTCAGAGAAGCGGTAAGCTAATTTGGTATTTATTATGTTATAAACTGAAAATGGAAAGGTAACTGACAAACATTTCTGCAGCACACACATTCAGTCTCTAAAAACCACGTAATCATACCTTTTTCTCTGTACAACACTCGAAGCAGAAAAGCAACACCAGCTCAAAATGGCTGACAACAGCAAAATATCCCTTATATTTATATATTATCGACATTCAATAAATTAAGACAATGGTATCAACGTATTGTACTCTGTTTTATTTGCACTGCCCAGGTTGTCATAAACTGTGTAGAGTTTGTGTAGAGTTCAAGTTTTCCTCAGTGCTTGGTAGTTCACTCAACATCTGCATTTCAAATGTTCTCCTAACATCATTAATTCATCGTCATCATAATCATCATCATCATCTCCTGTGGTTTCCTTTCCACAAGAATAATGCTCAAATAAACATTATAAGTATGTACTAAAGAAAGTAACATTTGTATATGCTAGTTTGTTAAGTGCAATCCCCATGCAATAGAACATGCAGTTATAGAGAATGCATGGAGACCATATTGACCATGCACTGTGAACTGTATAGTTTGCTGCCTGGCTTTTTTCTAGGAGGCAGTGATAATAATTTGTGATGAACACCTTCCTAATAAACACACGAGTGTGAATACGGTAAATTAAACCATAGCCAACATTTTTTTCTCTGCATGCATCGTGAACACAACCTATATGAACCAAAACAGTCACTTTTAGAAGTTGGCATTGACGTATAAACACAATTAAAGAAATCAGTGGCAATATTGGCTCAAGCACTGGCACATGTACATTTTAAAAGTTCAAATTTGCAAACAATAATCAAAATCCTCAAAACAGGCAATTTGAAAACTATCTGGTACAAAAGCAATCAATAACCAAATCAGACAAACAAAACAAACAAAAATAAAATGAAACACACACGCAGGTAAATCACAGTGCTGTGAGGAGTAAAAAAAGTTTGCGGTGCCGTCAGAGTCCCATTAACAAGGCGACAAAATTAAGAAAATAAACATTGCAAGGCAAATGAGCGATCCCTGTGTCTGCTTCACAAACCTGTGCAAAAAAAAATTCAAGTAGGTCTTTGTACATTCTCTGTGAATTCTGGTGATGAAGTCGAACCAGGCAGTGGTTCCCAATGTGGGGGGCGGGTCTACTTTGGGGGACACATTGTTATTGCAGGGGGAGTGCAGCAGGTTAATTTCATTTCATTTGAATTGTTTTTGTTGTCCCACAATGGGGAAAATGAACAGACTAATTACTTCATTTCCTTTTACTGTGAGAATATCCTTAATTAGGAATTACACTGAACGTGTCGACGGGCTCAACAGTGCTATTTACCAAAAGGTCGGTGCTGCTGAAAAGGTTTGGGAACTACCGATGTAAGGCATTAGTTCTTTAATTGTTAATGGTTATTTTGAATGACAAATTAATCCGTTTTTAATTTTCCAGCAAATTCAAATTTGAAGAAACTAAGTAGTTAAAAAAACCCCATCATCCTGTATGGTGATGGGGAGCGAGGGAGAAAACAAATTAAGGGTTCAGAATATATATTAAAAATATGAATATGAAAAATTAAGTGTACATAATCAAATGTCAGCAACATTCACCAGCTCAGATTTAACAACAACGTACAATGTACAACATAAAATACAAATGTAGCTTTGCAAAACATTTTTACATAACATGTAAAGCAATAACATTTGAAAATACACATAAAAACATGTGTATTTACAAATGTTTACTTTTACCGTTTGCCTGTTTTACAAACGATATCCCTACAAGGTCAGCGTGAAAACACAGTGTTGACATTCAGTTTCCCCTTTCAGCATTTTTAAATGTCTTAAAACAAATATTTTGAAGCCGTTCACCAAATTGCATTTTGAATTTCAAACTCCACAAACATTGCCTGCAAACAATTCCCTTCTCGATAATATCGAACTGACATAAAAAAAAGTCTAAAATATCTCAAGTGTGACCATAGACGTTACAGGAAAACTGGTAAGAAGCCCTGTGTGGTACAAAGCAACACTACTAAAACCAGATGGTGACCATCTCTGAAATTGTCTCTCATTTGTGCCTCTATTATCCTCTATCCCGCATGTACACATCTTATATACTGTACACAGTACAAATACCCCTCAATCCACGTCACATAAGCTAAGCATTCAACGTAGACTCCCACCAAAGGCTAAATTTAAATCTATTCTCAAGTAAATGGTGTGAAAAGGTGACGAATTCATTCGTTCTTGGTCAAGTCTCTTTGACAGATGATAAGAAGAAAAATACATATTCTTAAATCTTCTCCTCCTTAGGGACGGCAGAATAATTGTATGGCACTGACCAATATTGTGAAAGGTGTTGTTCGTGGTTCCTTCAACTCTTTTGCTTCTGTTGTTGTCAGCAACGCAAATAAAAAAAAGGTTGTTGGGCAATAAATATGTAAATAACGGTAAACTTCTTGACAACTTGTGGTTGGGCTAACGGTCCATTATCCCGGGACAAGCTCTTTTGTGAAGTTGTATGGTATTTGTAAGAGGCCATGCACACAGAGTATTGCTAAGACGTCGTGTCATGGCTTAGGGACGACCACTTGAATGGGTGGATCTTAAGTCACTGAACCCACGCTTTATTACCGTTTCCCTTTTTTCACATTCAGGTCAATAATGTCTCGAGTCTCTAATGTGCCACTACTGTAGCAGCTTGAATTCTGAAAGTCCAAACTGCTTATCATTGCGCTAAGAGTGACGTCGTCCCTGCTCTGTTGTGGCGTTCACTGCTTCTTACCGGCAGCCTGCTATCTTTTAGTCTGTCTTTCCGTTCTCCTGAGGAGCGCTGACTTTTTTACTCCGGTGAGCTGAACGCAAAACCTTATAGCAGCCCCGGGTGATCTTATGCATCCACATAATGTTCATGATGTCCAGGCAGATGCTGGAGCAGATCCAAGCTACGCGGCCGCCCCACGGCACGAGGTAAAAGGCCTCCGTGCCATAGACTGCGCACATGCGACTGTAGTAGACCGGCATGACAGCGATGCGGACCATGAAAAAGACTAAAGCCATGGCAACACCGTTTGCCATGTTGGGCCCGGAGGTCTTGGGGTAACCCAGTACCTCAAAGAACCAGCTGGAAGACAATACAAACAACATAAAAATAGAGATGGGAAAAACACCAAGGATCACATGAACATATTTGACACAATTTCAAGTAACAAGAGTCTTTTACGGCTTCAAAAACGTCAATTACTGTGGATGCAGGTTCACTTTTTCTCAAACACACCAGAATTAAACATCTCATTTCACATTGGGATCCTGCAAACCACAGTTCAGATAATTAAAGTAACTAGAACAAATGCTGTAATCATCAGCCTACATCCTTAAATCAGGTCAGGGAATTAGTATGAAGGTACGTACCGCTGGTTCACGCAAGGTGTAGAAAACTCAGCGAGCAGACGGAAGTTAGCAAAATAAGGCAACATTCCTTGGCCCTGGAAGAGCAATGCAACAAGAAAAAGACAAGAAAAAATATAGAGAGGGACATGAACAAGACAGAGTTGTTGGAATCAGCAGGCATAATAGACACATGCCCACTGCTCAATGGGAATGAACACACAAACACCACAGGTCATTAGAATAATAACAGAAAAAACATAAACATTTCCTTCTTGACTGTAAACATCCACATATTTCATATTTTGAGGGATTACGAGGGAGAAAACTCCCAAACAAGAGCACAATACATTTAGGCTGCTCTATGCAGTCTAAATAAAGGCTTCTCTCGGTCAGAATGCATAATTATTCCTTTAAATTCTCAAGCTAAATTTAGACACTCATCTCAAATAAACCCTTTAAACAGATAAATCTCTTAACTTTCGTAGAAGATATTTTTAACCATCTTGTTTTCCGTAAATGACAAATTTGCAGCAATTGTCACAAAAACACTTTCACTGTATAATCCTGAAATAATGAGCCATCATTTACTAGAAGTATAATACAAAACAACAACATGTGACCCAAAATAATTACTAATTGTAAACTAGTGCAACAGCAACTAAACTTACTTTCTCTGGAGTATTCTGATTGACTGCACTGTTTGTTTTTAATTATTACCATGCTCAAAATATCATTACAAATGCTATGCAAAATGAATGGGTTATTAAAAAAAAACACGCAAAGTGCATGACTACCTGAGTCAAAAAACACAAGATGAGCTGAGACATTACAATATTTCTGTTTGCCTCTTGTCACTTTTGTTTGTCTGGTTCATGCTTTACACTAATCAGAAACATACAATACTAATCACAGAATCACCGTGGCAGTCACACACGCACGACTGTTACAACATTGAAACTGTAGCCCAGAGCTAAGCCTGCACAGCCATCTTTTTCATAGTACCATGTAGTACTGTCTATGCCACAAGGAGTCCAAACACTACATACTTATAAATAACTTTCAACCATCTAAAAATCAAGTCTTTAACGAGCTTCTGCTAGACATTGTCTTTTTCCGTCTCAAATCCTTTAACACATGTAGCACATGTACAAAAACACATACTTTTCATCACCCCAAAACATTTTTACACATCAAGTCATTGAACAAATAAAACATATTGCATCACAGGCTTGGATACAGATACAATACAACCATTCATCATTCAGCCAGCCACTATTTAACAGCGCCATTAAAAGCCATGCATTGTGAAAGGTAAAACGTCCAATTGTCACAGACACATAAAAGATTGTGGCCATCCATTATTTTATAGTCTAAAATACATTTGTAACCATTTTAACCAAACGATTGAGGCTAAACAGCTACTGCAGTGGCCCTTTGATAAGGTTAGAAAAGACTTGAGCAAATAGTTGCTTCATTTAACATCATTTTTCAGACATTACATCCGCATTCAGGGTCATGACAACGGAAGCTGTCATAGTGAAGCTGACTGTACCTGACACAAGAACTGTTAGGTTTCAAATGAAAAAAACAAAACAAAAGCTATGTTAGTTTTGTTTTCCAAGCTACTTCGCGTTAAAAAGTGCTGATATTTCGCTGGTACCGTTTGTTTTTCAAACCCAAAAAGTGTCACACCATTCACTTCTAATTGAATATGTATTAAAAAAAGTTACTCTGATTGTGACATGATTGTTTTTTTAAAGCAAATCATGCCACATAATGAAGACTTACCGTCGGGGCTGAAACAAAAGCTGGCCATCGAAACATACTTACTATGACTTATGAACAGGGTTCAAGTGCATTTCAGGTTTTATTTTACTCCTGAGAAAATGTGTTTCACCTAGCAAAGAAGCATGCTAGTACCGCTAGGAACTG